GATGCTGTGACTTGCAAGGACATGTTCAGGGATCAGGATTCATGAGCCCATTTTGTCAGATTGGGGGAAGGGCCCAGAGAGAGCATGTTTTGTCAGCACTCGTGCTGAGGAAAGAGAACTCTGTCGGGTGCCATCTTCCAGAGATGACCTTGTCTGCATGCTCAGCCACAACAATGCTTGGCAGTGGCATCGTCAAGTCCCCTGGAATTCAAACAGCACATCATTGCTACAGTTTTTCTCATTTACTGAAGTCTGCTATGCTTCAGACATGTACATTGAATTTTTTTTAATTTTAAATATACTTTCTTCAAACCCTACTCAACCAGTCCCATTAGCAACCTACAAAGATGTTAGCATTGGACTCTAGGTTTTTGATTGGTACAAATTGATGCAACCATGATTGTGGAAAGAATATTTGTAATGTAGCGTTAATTCTTGCTTTATCTCTCTCAAAAATTGTCTGACATATACTATTTACTTTTTAAGGGGATACAATAAGATATAGCTGGACCAAAGTCATTCTATTGAATGCTTGGGGTTGTTATTACATATAAAAAAAACCATGTGGTCTTCATAAATATCAAAGCCATCTTGCCCTCAGGTATTTCAAAATAAAAGTCACTTGGTCATTTATAACAGGAAAATATGGAAACAGAGATAGAAGTAGATTCGCAAACTAAAGAAAAGCTATGCATGAATAGTAATGTAATCCAAGAACCCAAAAGGGAATATCAAAATTATATATAGTTATTGGAAACTTATAACTTGTAAAGAAAGTGACTTCTGCCAGTAATTTCCAATAATTATATATTTAATGGCTTTGAAAGAGAAAAGTTACCTAAGAATTATGCTAATATTTAATCCCTACACAAGTTCACATAGCTCACCTTGGAGGTCAGTGAGGACAAGTTTATTATCATAGCCTCCACTGAGCAGGTAGTAAGCAGAGGGGGAAAAACGAAGGGAACGGAGGTCTGAGGAGTGAGGCTTGAAGCATTGGATGATGCGAGAACCCCGAATGTCATAAAGAACACATGATGAATCCTCGTGACCGGAAACCAACAGCCTGCCTGATGGGTCTATGCAAACAGCTGCCACTGGACTACCCTGTAATTCAAAAACATTGCACTACACTTTCTTTTACAAAATATCCAAGATTACAGCAGCTGGGCAATGATAATGCAACCCATGAACAGAAACCAATATCAAAAGACAAGAAGAAGCAATGTTAAAAACCTGCCACTATTGACAAACAATGAAGGAAATAGTGCTGTAGATGCGACCAGTTAAGGGCTGCCATTGACAACAGCTTATGTTGAAGGGAAGGTATAAACTTGGTTGTTTTCTGCTTCAGGCTGCCCTTTGACCCTGACTATAATCTGCCAGTGGCTCAAATTTTGGACAGAGCTGTGCAAGAAGGTAAACATATATCCAGGGTGCCCAGAAATTACATTTGTAGTGTAGGCCAAGAAGAAAACAACAGAAAATTAATGTAACATCCATAATTTGGCATATTGCTCGAAAGTGAGGTTTATTCACTGGAACCATAGCATTGGGTGGTCTATATTACTGGTAATATAATTTTCAAACACCCTGCATTTTCCTGTTTTTTTTTTTTATGTAACATCCATAATTTGGCATATTGCTCGAAAGTGAGGTTTATTCACTGGAACCATAGCATTGGGTGGTCTAAATTACTGGTAATATAATTTTCAAACACCCTGCATTTTCCTGTTTTTTTTTTTGCATAGGAAATCTTTACATTCAGCACCCTAAATAAGGGCATTCATACAAGAGGAAAACTTTGAGAGCTCACAGCTAATTTCCAATGAATAAGTGTGAAGCCTTGATCTTGAAAAATTCACCATAAAAAATCAGTTTCTGTCGTGGACAGCTGGCAATGTTTTTTTGGTATCCCTCATTAGTTTAAGATTTACTCAAGTCAAAAGATATCAAACCTATCATTACTGATAGGTTTGATATCTTTTATATTTCAAGATGGACCCCTCTCATGAAGGGTTCAAATGAATGATCCTTTATAATCTCCAAGCAGAATTTAACTCTTAACAATCTCATGAGTATCTGATAACCAGGGTCAACATCATCAGGAGGTTGATGTCCATACACCAAGACAGACTAGCTTGCAACTTTATTCTTTTACCTGACCTTTCGCTCAAAAATCCAATAAGGCTGGTCCTGAATTTGTACAATATGGTGGAAAGATCACAAAACTTACTCTGGTACCAGGAGTGATGGTATGAGGGGTAATGACATTCACACAACCTCTTGTCCGAAGATCCCAGAAACGAATAGTTTTATCTTGACCTCCAC